AATAGTACGTGATATTACCATCATGTTTGGCTTATATTTTATATATACTGGTGGCGTAGACGGGTGGCGTAGACGGGTGGCGTAGACGGGTGGCGTAGACGGGTGGCGTAGACGGGAGACGACACAAGGAAGGGAGGAAAATGGGAGGAGGAGGGTGAAACACAATTGGAGAGAGGAGGAGAATGAGGCTGAAAAGGAAGAGGAAGTGGATGAGGAGGAGAAGGAGGAAGAGGGTAAAACAGAGGAGGAGAGAGTAGGAGGATGAGGGTAAAGGAGACGACAGGAAGAGAAGGATGCCACAAGGATGGAGATCAGGAGTCAGTGGCGACAGCTTCTCCTGAGAGTAACACAGCACCACCATCAGGAGAAGGAGGCGGCGGTCATGCGAGTACTTGCGTCACTGAGTCCCATCCTTGCGTCACCCTGGCGTAGGGACTGGTACTCCTGAGACTCCCATCCTCATCCCCCAAAGGCTCATCGCATCCTTCGCCATGATAACTGACCTACCTCCTCCCTCTCACCATGATATCCGACCTACCTCCTCCCTCTCACCATGATAACTGACCTACTTCCTCCCTCTCACCATGATATCCGACCTACCTCCTCCCTCTCACCACGATAACCGACCTACTTCCTCCCTTTCACCATGATAACTGACCTACCTCCTCCCTCTCACCATGATAACCGACCTACTTCCTCCCTCTCCCATCTGACCGACCCACCCTCCTCCCCTCTCCTACCACCATGACCTACCTGGCCTCCTCCTCTCTCACCATGATAACACCTCCTCCCCTCTCAGATAGCACCTTCCTCCCCTCTAGCTACACCATGATAACTGACCTACCTCCTCCCTCTCACCATGATAACTACCTCCTCCCTCTCACCATGATACCCTACCTCCCTCCCTCTCCCTACCTCCTCCCTCACCTGGACCTACCTCCTCCCTCTCACCATGATAACTGACCTACCTCCTCCCTCTCACCATGATAACTGACCTCCTCCCTCTCACCATGATAACTGACCTACCTCACCACCTACCTCACCCTGACCTACCTCCTCCCTCACCCCTACCTCCTCTCTCACTGATAACTGACCTACCTCCCTCCCTCTGACCTACCTCCTCCCTCTCACCATGACCTGACCTACCTCCTCCCTCACCATGATAACTGACCCTCCTCCCTCTCACCATGATAACTGACCTACCTCCTCCCTTTCTGCTTACCTCCTCCCCCCTCACTGTATTTATAGAAGAAAAAAAATCCCTCACTTGTGAAAAAAAATATCCATGTCAAGTCAGTGAAGGCGGAAGTTGTAAGTAGTTAACCAGAGCCAATAGGAAGGTTTAAGGGTCCAAGTGGTTTAGTGGTGATATGAATCAGTGTCTGGTGTGTGTGTGTGTGTGTGTGTGTGTGTGTGTGTGTGTGTGTGTGTGTGTGTTGATCTTGTGGTTACAGTATACATGTGTTTATGTGTGTCGAAAGGTTGGGGTGTTTCCTAATGAATGAGAGAGAGAGAGAGAGAGAGAGACCTGTAAACCAACCAAGACGATAATATTCATACCGCTCGCTGGGGTCCATAACATGTCAACCTTATACCAAGTCCAATGTATACAGGTTACGGCGGACTAATGAACCATAAAACCCACCAAATTAAACATTCCTGTGACCTTTGACCCACACAGACTGACCAAAAATACGGATATCTTATTAAAAAAAAAGTTTATCTCCGCCAACTCTCTTCTTTAATCGCCAAAATATGACTAAATAGCAAATGAAAATATGTTTTGGGGGGATTGTTTAACCTTTGACCCAATAAAATCATAAAAAATAGAGATCAGGACAAACTGGGCCAATATACGTCTGGTAATTCTGAAATAAACTGACCTCTCACTGAAGGACTGAATAAAGGTGTTATTAATAAAAGAAACGCTGGAAAATAAAGCAACATGTCACCTATCGATTCTATCCTACTGAAGAGACAATAAGAACAGTAATATTTCAATACAGACATTATACCACACGTGTTATTCCTACCAAACTGTACTGTGCTGTAATGCGATGCTCGAATTACTGTAATCATCGCTCGATTTATAGAATAGACCTTTATCAAATTCCTGAATCAACTTGGTATTTCCTGTTTAAAGTTTTCATATTTCAATCTGTATTATATGAATAAATAATATACATAACCTTCCACTTATATTGTGTCTGAAAAATTCTAAGTATATGGTTTAGTAACGCTAACAAGATGATTGCCACAGATTTAACAAAGGGATGCCACAGTTGCCTCTCTCTTGTACCTGTCTAGGACCTGATGCTGTCACCAACTAGTATGTCACGTACAGTACATGATATAGACAAGATTGTGTCACGGATCTGATGTAGTCACGTACTACTGAGTCACGGACCAGATGTAGTCACATACTAGTGAGTCACGGACCAGATGTAGTCACGTTTTAAATGTATGTCACGTACTAAGTGTGTGTCACGGACCAGATGTA